ATATTAAAACCTACTCCATTTAAAAAACATAATTGCTGTTGTGTCTTATCTTGTTCTCATTGGCTCACTGTGGAGCCTTGTTCTTAGTAATTTACCGAAATTCCAGAGTTAATATTATCACATATTATTTTATCTGTATTTTTTTTATGTGGAACTGACAGAGCTTTCATTTGAATCTCACGAAATCTTTTGACAAAATACCACGCCAAGCAAAGCGTGAAAATAAACAAAGTTCCATCATCTCATCAAATAGAGTATCTATATTAATGCGGGTTCGAGTTACCCACCACTTTTACGACTTTCTATCCGGGCGCGGTTTTTTTAGCTAACTATGCCAGTACTGACTTCCAGATTTTGAGAGACTGATCATACGTAACATTCACTATTCACGCAGGTTGTTTGTAGTATAAATATTAGTAATAGAATGCACTGAAAGGCTGAGTGAAGGTGGTTAAGCTGCCCTTATATTTCAGCAATTTGGCGTCGTGTCGAACCATCTGGGAGCTCACTGCGAATGCAAGATGATGTACCAGGATAGCTATCATGGTATTTTGTTTTTCAAATGAAGTCCCGCCCGCAACTAAACTAAAACGGTGATGTGCTCTGACGCCGCAGCAAACGGCCGTAACGTCCATCACGTTTAGGATATCCCAAACTTGATTGAGAAATCATAGTCGAGTGCGTTTATTCACTACCTGAACATGCACAGCCATTTCCCTTAATAGCTAATATGTGGGATTTAAGACTCGCTTTCGGTATTTGAGAGGATACTGAACCTTTATCTTTCAGAGCTGGCTGCCATTAAGGCCTGAAAAGCTGCTTTCAGGTTGCATAGAAATTTTCAAGAAAAAAAGCATTTTTTCCTTTTATTTACTCACCATGCTAGATTATTATATGCTTACGTACCCGAACCTCCCGGAATCTGAAAACTGCTATTTTATTTTTACGGCAGAGGTTATATCAGGATTAGGTTCTTCTTTTTAAACTAATGTTGAACACTGTGGGGGCGTGCACCCACTTTGCCTGAGCCGATATCTCCAAAAATTCCACTCGCATTATCAGCGGCTATTTGATAAATATCCCGGAAGCGGTTATCAAGAACACAAAATTGGTAGACTTGAATCACTGTTATTATCAATGGTAAGCGCAAATGTTAGTAGTAGGTGACAATATGCATGTTTCTCAACGCCCTCATTACGTTGCAGACTTGAATTGACGTACGGATTGGAGAGTGAAACAGAGGCTAATGTTTTTTAGGTTGGAAATAACTACATATTTGAATAAATAAAACGCTTCTTTATAACAAAAAAAAAAAAAAGCTTTAATGAATGCCACTTAAAACAGCGTATCCAATATCACTCGAGTAGTGACGTCCAAATACAACAGTTACTCGAAGCAAGTTGCTACTGTGTCGAATGAGGGGGCATATCCATGGTCATCCAACCTATAGCCTACAAAAACGATCGGATTAGGTTGAAGCGGAATGCGCCCTTTATTGACAGGTCTAGTCGATAGCGGGCACTACAACAGCGCGTTCTGGAGGGGATCTAAGGAAGATTGCTTAAATATGTACGCTCATCATGTGGAGCACAAGATAAACTAAACAGCAGCATTACTCATAATTTATCAAGATAAATGTGAATTCAACGTTATACGAGTCCGTTAAGGCGATCGAATTCGCCTAGAACAACCGCTCTATCAGGGGCGTAGCAATGTACCGACCCTTGAAATGCATGCTGTTATCAGCTTATTGCAGTTGGCTTCGGCCA